AACCAAAAACAACACCAGCAACATCAAATGCACCAATAGCAATAGCAATTGCAACAACAACAACAACAACAAAACCAATAGCAATAGCAATAGCAACAACAAAAACAATAGCAACAACAATAGCAACAGCATCAGCAATGGCAATAGCAACAATAAACAAAATATCAAAATCGTGACCAATTTGGTTTATTTACACGCGTTTAACATGAATCATTTACATGAAACTTAAATAGTTACATTCACACATTATTACTACTATTATTGTTATTGTTATTATTTTATTATGCAAAAATGCATTTCAACAAAAATATATTAAACCATACTTAAGTTAGAAAAAAAATTACAAACTGTCACAAAGCAATTGCACGTTTGCTATTTGACAAATAGGTTGAATTACGTGAAAAACTAAAGACATTTTCAGATCATTAAAATCAGATCAACAATATTGACAATATTGTAACTGAAGAAATAAACACTAACATATGATATTCTTAAAACTATTTTATTGTCCAAAAAAATTAAAATTTAAACTATGATTACTAAATTTTTTATTGACGAAAAAAAAATTATTTAAAAGTTAGAAGGTTTCGAATAGTAATGAAAAGAGAACAACAAAAATTTTAGTTAATTTATTGAAATTTCGCTAACTATACAACGCTGTTTCAAGTATTGCTAAGTACTCATCATTTTCATTACTCTTCGAACCATTCAAACTTTTTAAATTTCGTAAATACACCATACCATATATGGTTTATGGATCCAAAATAAAGAAGACATTTTAAAAATAGAACAAATTAACAATAATAATAAAAGCTTTTATATTTGGAAAATACATTTTTCATGGTAGGGTCCAAAATAAAGAACACATTTTAAGAATAAAACAATTTAACTATAATAATAAAACTTTTTATTTTTGGTTAATATATTGTTGATGGTAGGGTCCAAAGTAAAGGAGATATTTTAAGAATAGGACAACCTGAATCGAGAAACTTGCAATTATCTGCGCCAGTATGACGTATCCTTTACTATTATACTGTCGAAATTTCAAAATATTTGCATATAATACAAGTGGACTTATTGCACCCGACAGCATGTTTAAATTCCTTTCATCTGAGCAGTAATGAACCTCGAACGAAAACTTAATACTAAGTGCTGTTTAAAAATTTATAAACATTTTACTGCAACGAAACTTGTCAAACTAAAATCATAGGGATAATTGCTTACACCGCTGCAGAGTCCATGTACAGTAAACATAGTTTAGAAATGCTCATGTGGATATAAATGACAACATATATGGTTTATGGATCCAAAATAAAGAAGACATTTTAAAAATAGAACAAATTAACAATAATAATAAAAGCTTTTATATTTGGAAAATACATTTTTCATGGTAGGGTCCAAAATAAAGAACACATTTTAAGAATAAAACAATTTAACTATAATAATAAAACTTTTTATTTTTGGTTAATATATTGTTGATGGTAGGGTCCAAAGTAAAGGAGATATTTTAAGAATAGGACAACCTGAATCGAGAAACTTGCAATTATCTGCGCCAGTATGACGTATCCTTTACTATTATACTGTCGAAATTTCAAAATATTTGCATATAATACAAGTGGACTTATTGCACCCGACAGCATGTTTAAATTCCTTTCATCTGAGCAGTAATGAACCTCGAACGAAAACTTAATACTAAGTGCTGTTTAAAAATTTATAAACATTTTACTGCAACGAAACTTGTCAAACTAAAATCATAGGGATAATTGCTTACACCGCTGCAGAGTCCATGTACAGTAAACATAGTTTAGAAATGCTCATGTGGATATAAATGACAACAAGCTGGACAACCAAAAGCCGTTATCCCCATAGGTACCCTCAAACTAAACATAAATTTATCAAAACTTATACAGAATCTTCATTAAAATTAGTGGAATTAAATTCAAGTTTACCTAAACCAACAACTTATCGCATTTTAACTGAACATTTGAGATATTTCAAAGTATATATATAGATAATATCAATTTGAAACAAACCTAACCATTACTTAGTGTTGAATATCTTACTTTTCACTAATCTTTTTCAAAGCTTTTCTCAAAGGCTTTTTCAATCCCCTTCTCTCTTGATTACTCTCTTTCTCTTGAAATTGTTAACTCTTCACTGATAACTCCTACTAAACCCATCACCGCCTCTAATTATCGTTCTTACTCCTAGCTTAGCTAAATTCAAATACAAAAGTCTTTATCTTTCTATCCATGATCACCAAAATTTGTTTTCAGTCTGAATTTTTTTACAATCTGTTGGTTGAGGTCTTCCTATCTCATTCTAAAAAAATAATTTCAGTGCAATCAAGTCTAAAGTCCATTATCTCTCTTACAAGAAATTTATATTGCTTCTCACCAATGTAAAATATGGTATATTAGAAACGTTTTTCGCTGCCTCGTTAGCTTAACAGAAGTCGAAATGCTGTCATTAGCGCTGCTTTGACACTACTTATCACTTTATCGTTATCAGGGTTGTTATACCGCCTGGGTTGTTATGCCAGCAGGGTTGTTGTAAGTGGCATTGAAGTTGTCGCCACAATGGCGCAAAAGTTGATAATATAGTTGTAAGTTCTATTAAGACAAACGTTTTACGATAACAGATATGCGCCAGATTTTGTGCATAAAAGCTTACAAATTTATTCTATAAAAGTAATATTAATTATTTATTATTAGTAATTATTTAAATTTGGCTAGCCAAAATTATTTATTTTTAATATTATTATTTAACTTTTTATAAATAATTATTATGTTTTTTACATCGTTTATTTACTATTATACTTAAAATACAAAAAAAAACTAAGAGCATTGATATTATGCAACATAATATCTTTATTATAGATTTAATTACATTTTTCGAACGATTTTGAATTTTTAATTTCCTCATCCCGATTAAGCATGCAATATAAATTTAAATTGTCAGCAACAACTACCGCTAAAGATACAGAAAATATTGCAATCAATGCCAGTAAATCGAAAAAGGAATAAATAAAGAAGCCATTACGCGCTCTTAACACAAATTGGAAGTTGTATCTAAACATCACTTACAGCCCACAAATTGCCGAATTCGGTGTTTATTGAGTCACCTCATTAAAAGTTGCCAGATTGCACATTTTTTAGCCAAAAAATGCAGGCAGTAATAATTTTGACCACTTTAAGTGCATGAGGACTCATATTTCTTCTTGTTGCGGTTAATTTCAGTTCATTAGGTTAAATTTGTCACGAACGCGACGCGTCGACCGGCGAAGTTTTGGACCAATAGATATTACTACTAACAACATCCACAGATACCTGTACTTGCAGTAAGGAAATATTGCTAAACCAGTTGTAAAATTGCTGTGGGCCAAATTAAAAATTATTGATGTGAAAAAGCATTTGAGAGAACTGTAAAATATTTGCTATTTGAAAGTAAAATTTTTTAAGTATATTAACTAAAATAAAAAATTTTTGATTAAAATCACGACTCTTGTAAAAAATACTTTATCTCAACCAAAGCTCAAGTCGATGCATTGCACAATATCAGCCAGCAAAGTGTAACGTAACAAAATAAGTAAATATATTGTAATTTGTATTTATTTATTGTTTTATAAAATTAAACATAAACTAACGAAATGTCAGGCCCCGTTGCCAACAAACACTTCAGTAATACATCAAAACAGACTAAATTTTGATTGGCTGCTGCTTGTACAGCTAAAGGAGTCTCTGGAGCGATTTGTCACAGCTGGCTACATGGATTCCCTTCAAACTCGTTAAGTGTTAAAGTATGATGGCTTTTCGCCTCTGGGGCCAGCGAAAAAATGACAAAGTGACACGCTTGTAGGTCATAAAGGTCCTGCCGTGAATTGTCATTGTCGTGAGTTGCATAAAATGTACAAATTTTACTGAAGGAATACACGTATGTGGTAAAGTGTACAGCAACAACTATCAGATACAATGCATATAATTTATTTTATTTTCTTTGACAACATTTAATCAAAATGCAATTTAAAAACACTGTCAGTAGTGCTGTGACCTTGCTGTCATGAAAACTAAATATGTATTTATTAAAACTGCCGGGAAATTTATCATATTAGTCTTATTTTCATATATGTATATTGTTATAAGTATTAAATATTGTTTGGCAAAGTGTGTAAGTACATATGTTTTATGCTCCACTGAACGACTTGCTTATTTTGATAGATAAAATTCAGATTTATTCATAAATATATTATTTTGAAACTACAATATAATTATTCTAGCACTTTCCAACATTAATAAACTCTACTTATAATTTTATTGGATGCCAGATCTGAAGAATACGCCAAGTGTGAGCTAAAATCAAAACGCAATTCTAATCTTCATAGGCTTAAGCTAAAACATAATCCCTTTTTCTTTCTTCAGTTGTTACGATACCTCCTGAACATTTGTTATATTCAAGATTTATTATGTTTGTCTTTCAAAGCTAATCAATATACTAAATATACTAATATATTTAATAATAATATAGTACATATTTAATATACTCAATATACTATACAGTATACTAAATAATGCCCATTCCATACAGTTGTCCTTGACTTTTTAACTAGCTGTCATGCCTTTTTACAGTCTGATTTAATTCCGCCGATCGCGGAATAAAATATTCCGGGTACTTATTAGTCAATATCAACAGATTAATCTAAACTATGTATTATTAGACAAAAATTTCTTGAATTCTTACAATATTATAAAAGTATAACTAAAGAGCAAAATATAGATAAAAATAAATATGGATAGAGTTTGGAAATTTTTTAAAAAGTTACAAAATTCATATAAAAAACAAAACTTCTATTAACTGTATAAAATTTTTTAATAATGAAAACCGCTTTTACCAAATACTAAATACTACTAAAATCAATAATGTGATTGTTACCTTATAGCAACCCAGTAATTTGACAGCAAAAGTCAAATTATTACTTTCAGAAAGTTTAATAGTGCCTAGTCATTTTTCAACTGTGAAGTTAGAAATTTGTGATTTCTTCGATTGCTACTGCTATAGAGGTATATAAGAGAAATTTCTGTTGAATCTGTAAGTGAAATTTTGACTTGACTTATCCAATAAGTAAGTAAAACTATTTAAAATGTGTATAGTTACATATTGTTCATTTGATGTATAAAAAGGTTCACAATTTTAAAATATGTTTTAAGATAGTCCATCATTATCATCCATTAATAATTTTTTTGGTCACTTTGGATGAAATTTCTTCTTTCGAATCAATTGACTTTTATTTTTATACTTATGGGCAGTAATGGATTCAGATTTTATCTGTTGTTACAAAAAAAAAAGCAAAACTAATCCATTTTGATTAAACAGCTTCAAACAGCACTATGTTTCGATATCTTTTAAGTATCTGCTATATATATAAATTTTAATTCCTACTTTTGATGTTTTTTGGAACAATCAAACAAATTTCGCCATTCAGATTAGGTTGTTCTGAATTTTCCCGATATAAGCTTCCCATTAAAAAATAATTTGTATTCAAATGAAGCAAATATTTTTTTGAATTGTTTTAAAAGTACCAAATATGGAATCAATCAAACAATCATAACTCAATAAATAATGGTTGGAGTTTCATAAAATATCGTCACATACAGTTGACGAGACAGTACTGTACAGCCAGTTTTATTCTGCTGTTCCTTTCTGTAAGACAAAGCATGAACAAATTTTAAATAAGACATAAATACCTAGGGTTACCTCACCGTTGCTAAAATTTGGCTACTTATTTTTTAATTTTAACGTAATAGATCAAAGTGTTACCGAATATCTAAATTAGTCACTTCATAAACCGTCATATTTCATTTGTCTATGCCTACAAAACAGAAGCAGTTCTTTCGTACTCCAGTAAAACAAAATAATGCTTACATTTGGGTACATTTTTAGAGAATATACTTTCAATGTGCATGGGTCCTCGTGACCACTATATAACGAAAAGATAAATAGAAAAAGCTTATATCAGAACAGTGTTAATTTACCCTCAATGTTATGTTTACACATATTCTACATACGTAATTAATAATAATACATAATCACAAATCTAATCCTATTTTAAAAAATCTGCTACTAAAAAAATTAGAGTACAACCCTGTCTAATAGAAACTTAACAACCTGTCAGTAATGTCAAATTAAAATTTGGAAAAAGTTTATTTTATTTCATAAACTCGAAGAACTTGATTCTCCAGAACGTTCGTGGACAGATTAAAACAATTAACAACGTATTTATGAAAAAAAAAATATATTTGTGTATATTACATTTGTAGCAAAAACACAATATATAATAATGTGAGTAGTTTTTTTAATTTTAATTATTTTATATATAGCTCAGCTGTGAACTATAATAATCTTGAAAAGACGTGGCATATTCACAAAGATATTAATAATAACTTCTATTAAACTAATATAAAAAACAAATTGGTTAGGGTAAAAGGTAATGACTGACAAAAAACTGTTTTCTAAAAAAATAAATCCATCTATTTATTTTAAATTAATTGTTAAGATGTACTAACTTAAAAATGTCTGTATCTATTAAGTTCGATTATCCTTTACTGAATTATAAATTTTATTTCGACCCTTAATCTCCCTTTTTGCTCAAGCTCTTCTGATCCTTCCACTCCTTTCTCTCTCTCTCTCTCTCTCTCTCTCTCTCTCTCTCTCTATTTATGTTTCTCTCTCTTTCTCCCTCTCTAATTCCCACTTCTTAACTTTCTTTACTAACCCTTCTCTCTTATATCTTATTTCTTAAATACATATTTTCTTTGATCCCTTAGCTCCAACGTAAATTGTAAACTGGATTACATCAAAAAAGCCAAAATTTAAAATTAAATTTTATAATTTCTTTTCGCAAAACTATTCAAAAAAAGTTTATTAATATGAGTGGAAAAGAGAAAGGGTAAATATTCTATTAAAAAATATTCAAGTTAAAAGTTATATTTCATTTCTACTTTTTTTTTTGGTTTTCAATTATTCAGTAATCATGTCTACAAATTGCTTTGCCCCTATGATCCTACTTCTCCACTTATAAACGACTATAATGCTGGTGATTTAGTATGTTCAAAGTGTGGCCTAGTTGTAGGAGATCGAGTGATTGACGTCCATCAAGAATGGCGTATGTTTCATAATGATGAAAAGTCCGAACAACGCAGTCGTGTCGGTGATCCGGAAATTAATCTACTAGGCAATAATAATCTTTCCACCTCACTTGCCTTCCCAAAAAACTTCAATCGAAAAATCAAATCATCTTTATTAAATTCACCGCTAAGCTTTAGTTATACCGGTAACCGTACTCTACAACCAGCATTTCGTGCAATCAATGATATGGCTGATCGCGTCAATGCACCATCTCATATCGCTGACCGTGCTTGTGACATATACAAACAGGTATATATAGAACAATTATTCAACTGACAAATCACGTGTTTATTTCTTTTAGGTTCATGACCTTAAACGTCATTCATATTATTCGAATTTTACAAGGGCGGCATCATGCTTATACATAGCTTGTCGTCAGGAAGGTTCGCCAAGAACATTAAGGGAAATATGTGCAGCTGCTACGGTCGATAAAAAAGAGCTGGGACGTTGCTATATGCTTATTTTAAAATTGCTTGGAATTAGTGCCGGTGGAATAGATGGATCTGACTATATGAATCGTTTCTGTTCCTTTTTAGGTAAGTAATCAAAATAGTGAACATTTATCGCTTAACAATAAAATATTTGTATAGGTCTTGATGAATCGGTGAAAGATGCAGCAATACATATTTCTGAAAAAACGGTAGAAATGGAATTATGTTCGGGTAGATCACCAATATCCATTGCTGCTGCTGCAATTCTAATGGCTTGCAAGGTACGAAATATATTAATAAATAAACTTACACAAGCTTTAAATTTTAATAAAAACTTTATTGTATATGTTATATATGCTATTATAAAAGATTGCAGATCTTAATGTTACACAAAAAAGGATAAGTGAAGTCGCAGGTATTACTTATGTTACAGTTAGTGGATGCTTCAAACTTATGGTTCCGTATGCAGAGGAGTTGATGCCACGAAATTCTAAATTTCCAACGCCGACTGGTTATGAACTGGAAAGGTTACTCGCCAAAAAAGTTATGTATGACGAAAAGCCTGGTGAAATTTTGACAACACAAGAATCTATATTCTCATCACCATACGCGGATAGAGTGGAAAAACTGTTAGCAAAGAACCGAGGTACAGATCAATTATATGGTAAAGAGCAAGTACCGATCACCACTAAAATTCCAAAAACTAATATCGATAAGCTGCACAAACTACTGCAAGATGAATATGGTTCTGCCGAAAACAATTCTAAAGACAACGTTGGCAAATCAGTTGATACACAAAACGACAAATTACAAGCACAAAATATTGGAACTGATGTAAAATATAATGAAAACTTAAAGACTCAAAACATGAACTATTCAACATTATACAAAGAGGAGATGGTAAAGTTGCTTTCACAACAACAACTACAAATGGGTGTGAATGATAAGAGCTTTACGCAGTCAAACACATTTCAAAAAGAATATGCTGAACATTTGGCTAAAGTACTAAAGCAAAACGGAACTGGTGTAAAGTTGCAATCGCAGAACTCCATCACTCCAAAGACAACAACTGTGCAACGAATCCAGTTCGCGGGAAAGCAGTATGAAAATGGCTCAATGTTTAATGAGCAGTTAGTAAAACAAACCTGTCAGTGTCCCACACAATACAATGATGAGTTAGCAAAACAAGAGTTATTGAAGAAGTGGAACTCTGAGGAGAAAACAAAACCTAAGGAGTCCAAAACCAAATTGCCATATGCCGACATATTGACGAAAGTAAGATCAAAAAAATTCAATCCAGAAAATCAAAATGATCCAAATTTAATATCGAAAGAAGCTACAATCTTAAAACGAAGATCTGACGAAGTAGTTAGGTTCGCTTTGAAAAAAGCATACAATGGAGAGGAACATAATAGCGGATTGAAATCGCATAGCCCTGACATCTTAAAATCATATGATCAAATAACTAAGTTACCGGCACCCGATGTCGGTAACTCGGTAGTAAATGATGTGAAATTGATGTCACAACGAGTGAGTTGCACTCAACAATATAAAATACAACAAATACATGAGTTGAGTGATGGAAAATACGGTATAACGTTAATGCCACAACGTGGTGGTGTAAAAACAATGTCTACTCACCAATTTCAAACACCGGATTCAAACAATGTGACTGACAAAAAATCTAGCCAAAACTTTATACAACAAACCAACTCATATACTACAGTTCAGACTGAGCACCAACTCAAAGTTCAAGAACTAAACAAATTTCACCATATTCGGAACAAATATGGTGAAAATATGACAGTACAATTGGGTGAGTATACTCATAACGCTCAACAACATAAAACTGATATAAAGCACGGTAATAAATTTATCCCACAAAACGTCGGGTATATAAGAAGCGTAGGCAATCAACAACACAAGGTAGCGGGACTAAACGTCCTAACTGAAGGAAAACATGGCGGGCAATTTATGCAACAATATCAACAACATTTGATACCAGTACGGAATAGCTCAAGCGAGGATAAAAATCGTGAAACAATACCACAGTCCAGTGGGCACACAAACCCACAAAGTAATGAACAATACAAAATTACGGAACTAATGAAAACAAACAACAAGCAATGTAATAAGTATTTAACACCGCAAACTGCTCAGATTTCAAAACCCATTAACAATCAATTACCACAATCTACCAAGTATATAATAAAACGTAACGGCCAACAGTACAAAATTCAAGAAATAAACAGTTCAACTGAAGAGAAGATGATTCTACAAGAATCACCCAGTGGGACCAGAATCAAAAGCACGGTTCAGTTGATGCCACCTAGCGATCAACAACCGAAGATACCTGCACAAAAGAACGGATTACGGTGGGAATATGTAGGGCAATTAACATCACCAAATACCATACTAAATGATCTGAATAAAGAAGTATCTGGTAACAACTTGAATCCTCAATGGCCTCAATGTCTTAAAATTCCCAAAGGTAAAATAATTAAGATACCAAACCTGTCCTTGATGACATCTGATAAAAAGCTAATTCCACAATGCGCTGGAAATCAAAAAATCAATGGGGAACAACAACCTGAGATGCCAGTCCTGACAAATGTGACTGTAGTTAAGCCTGATGAGACGTTGTTACCACAATTTGATGAAAATACAAAAATCAATATGGAACAACAACACAAGTTACAAGTACTAAATAATGTTACTGGAGTAAAACGTGATGAGAACTTGCTATCACAAAGCGCCGGAAATACAACAATCAATATGGAACAAAAACACAAACTACCGGTACTAAATAACTTGACTGAAGTAAAATCCGATGGGAAGTTGATACCACAAGGTAGCGGAAATGCAACAATCGATTGGGAACAACAACACAGGTTACTTGTACTAAATAATACTGGAATAAAATCTGATGAAAAGTTGATACCACAATTCGCCGAAACTACAAAAATCAATTGGGAACAAGAACACAAAGTACCAGTTCTAAATTATTTCACTGAAGTAAAATCCGAATGAGTTTACTGAAGTACAAGACTCCAGTACTAAATAATTTTAGTATGGTAAATAGTGGTGAAAAGTTAAATGGTGAAAGTTTAGTATTTTCTATTAAATATGATGACAACAAAATAAAATTTGTCCCTTTGTGTCAAAATACTTAGAAGTCAATTATACAAGAAGACAACATTACTTAAATTATCGATATAAACTATAACTAAAAAGCATCAAATTAACAGCTAAAAATGACACTTAATTGTTATTATTTCATCGTTTTCTTACACAAGTTAATTAATTTTTAAACAATTTAATGTTAAAATTTTTTTCAGTAACCATCACAAGTTACAAAAAATTAATAAAGAAATTTAATTTCAAAAATATGAATTTCTTTTTACATCATATATATATAGAAAATGCATAAAAAGTTTGATGTAAAAAAATATCTACTAGAAAAGTACTGCAGTATTATACTATATATATGTATCTAAAATATATATATATATATATATATATACAGCTAAAAATATCTATAACAGCACATTGGAACAATGCACTTAGAATTAGTCTTTTATTCATGATAAAATTTTTTCATTGGCCTAGAAAAAATAAATAAGATAGATTTATAATATATTATTGCCATCATCTTGAAAACTTAATGGTTTAACATGGACAGCACACTATGGTAAGTTATAATGTAAACAACGAATAATGTAACTTAATTTTCCCTAGCAACTATGAAAGCACCACAATGAGGCATTCAATTCTTCGAATGGAAGTAATAGTGTATTATAACACGTACTCATTCATACTAAGCGAATAAGAGCTCTTAATGGTATTAACAGATATTGCTAGCCGAATCGAGTATGCGTAGCTAACTGAAGATATTATAAGGAACGTTTCTCTTAAACATTTTATTTAGTAATGGCCAATAAGAATCTATCCCGACCTGACGTAACACTTCTCTGCAAGCGATTAGCGCTTCCTTTACTTGATGACTTCGCAGTTGATACGTCCTTCCCTAACGGCTCCACCTTTCAATTGCTTTACACATAATGTGGACAATGACATGACCAAGCCAGCGAATAATGAATAATGAATAATGTCAATGTCGTATGTACAAAACCTGTTTTCCTTGTAAAAGGAACTTTTATCTTGAACACTTTAATTCAGCTTCAGTTCTAAATTAAGTTCTAAATTTCAATGGCTTACTAAACCCATTTATCACCTATCTGCAATCTGTAGAATACCTCTGTGTCTAACTTTAGGGTCGTTATTTTTGGTTACAACAGTGTGAACATGGATAATATTTTTAATAAATTGCAAAGTATATTAGCCACCAACCAGCTTAGTATTCGAATGCGGTAATGCAAAACCTCCAGTAATATCATACTTACTACGTCCAATTATATAAATGAATAGGTAAGTGATTAGCTTGACACATTTGTAATATACCGTGCCAATATCGCTTTTAAAGAGATAACTGGATAAATGATTGTAATGTGACACGATATCAAAGGATCCACTTGACCCTACCATCACAGACCATCATGGGTACTGCTGATTATAGACCAGCTACCAAAAGGTACTTTAAAATAGACACAAATGTGGTAAGTAGCGATGTTATGTTAAGGGGTTATTATTGCAATGATGATTAACTGATAAATGTTGTGCAATCAGATGAAAAACCCCACTGATAAAGACCAATTAGTTGGTGTTTGACTTTCTAACAATATAGGTAAAAGGACGATATAAACAATATATGTCACGCTGATCTTTAGATAGATAACATAAATCAATTGACACCTTAATTAAAAACAGAACTGAATTTTAAAGTACACAAAACCACGGATAAACTATAAAGCGTAAGCTTTGTATTCCTTCAAGTTTTGTATCCAAATTCCTCCTTAGCCTAAAGTAGCTCCTATTAGCTAGGATAGTTTTTCATTAGCTCTCCATGCTGATATAATTGTTATAATTTATGATGATCCCAATATAGAAGATTTTGAAGCCTCGAAAGAATGATTGCTA